TTTTTTCTTTTTTTTGAGATGGAGTCTTACTCTTTTGCCCAGGCTGAAGTACAGTGGGGCAATCTCAGCTCACTGCAACCTCTGCTTCTAGGGTTCAACCATTCTTGTGCCTCAGCCTCCCGAGTAACTGGGACTACAGGTGTGTGCCATCACACCTGGATAATTTTTTATATTTTTACAAAAGACAGATTTCATCATGTTGGCCAGGATGGCCTTGATCTCCTGACCTTGTGATCTGCTCACCTTGGCCTCCCAAAGTGCTACGATTACAGGTGTGAGCCACTGCACCTGGCCAGGGCTTCACTGTTAATGAGAAAGGACAGACATGATGAAGCCTGAAAACTGACCACAGAATTTAGCAACATGCAGGTTACAGGCCTCTTTGACAAGACCAAATCTTATGATGTGGGGAGGAAAGCCTGCCAGTAGGAGGGTCACAGGCAAATGGAGAGAAATTGCACACAGTGAGTGAGCATGGACAGCTTCCAATTGTGCTGAAAGGCAAAAAGAAGTAGGGCAATAGCTAGAAGTGAAAATGAGGGCACAGATTTTTCTTTGTTTAGGGTTAGAAAAAAGCATCTTTATATCATGAGAGGAGAAGTCAGCAGAGAAAGAGAAATTCTGGAGGGGTGTGTCCTGGAGATTGGATGGAATCCAATCAGGTTGAGGAGCTGGCCTTTGCTAGGAGCAGGGATTGCCCACGCACACGTCTGTCACACGTGGGAGAGGCAGAGTCTATGGACAGAGGTACAGGCTTAGGGGACTTCTGGAAGTTCCTTTCAGGTCACTTTTTCCAGCCGAGACTGAACTGTATGACATAATGGGCTTTTTTTACACTACAACTCCCATCACTTCGGTTAACCAAGAATACTCACAAGTAATTGGCCAAGTTGTGCTCTTGTAATGTATGTGTTTCAAAACCATGAGGGGTCGTGTCAAAGTAGTCATTGCCAATCCCACAGATGAAACATTTAGTCTAAGAAAAATAACAGAGGCAGAAAAGGCATTTGTAGGCGTAATAATATACGCAGGAGAGAAGACGGTCATGATTCTATTTAATTGACAGACAATGAAAAATTTCTCTAATGCTTTTGGGTATTAGTCATTTACTCAGTAGTACCACACACTGAGCTCATGATTAGCTGGGAGCTGATCCGATTACAGGACAGTAAAGGAGGTAGCAGGGTGGCTGCTCCTGTGGTCTTGCTTAGGAGTGGCCCTAAGTAACAGTAAAACCTATTGTTTAAACAATCCATTTGCTTGTGAGGATATTAAAATAGAGCTGGGACTAGAACTTAGAGCAACATTACCTCCATATCTTCTCGCACTTGTTCCTGCTGGTCTCTGAGCTCTCCAAAAGCATCAATAATAAGACCTAGAATTTTAAATACAAAGGGAAAGCAATCTGTGTAGTGGTTCAGGGGTAGAGGGAGAGGAAGAAGCCACTTTATTCTGTTAAAAAAGGGAATTGTCAAAGGTGACCTACTCAAAGCAAAATGAGAAAAATAAGTGTTACATCCTGGCTGTTTCTCGTTGTTCTTTCTCAGTCTACCTTTCCACACTAGGCTGTGCTGTTAACTACTGGCTCCTCCCTGAAACTCTTTCCTCCCCGCTTCTCCCAGGTTACTTTTCTATTTTGCTTAGCTATTTGGTGCATCTGTGCGATGGGCTCTCTGTTCTCCTAGCCCCTCTGACATTGAGGTGGATCATGGTTCCCCCTCAGTTCCTTGGCTTCCTAGCCCTCAACCCCTGCCTGTCCTACAGGTTCCTCCGCTCAGCATGACTCAAGCTAAATTCATCCTCATCTTTCTCCAGTCTTGACAAGCTATTGACTAAAATGTCATTCTTTCCCTCCTGTCCCTTGCACTGTCCAGCTCTCTGCTCCTTCCCTGCCTGGGAGGAAAATGAAGAGGACCAGACTAGCCATAGGAGACATCCTAGAAGCAGAAGGAAGGAGGAAATAATTCATAGTAGAGGAACAGAAAGAAGGGGTTTCTCTGTGTGGATTAAGCTTCTTATAACTGTGCCTAGATGTGTTTTTCGCTTTATGTATAGCCACAGCCTTAGGCATAGTAGATGCTAAATTAACAAGTACATAAATAAATTCACACACTTCTTCATAAACCAATTAAGTCACAGATGAAAGAAAGCAAAAAAACCTAGATGAAACCCTGCTCCTACTTAACAGAATTGGCAATCGTACCTTGAATGATGGCGAGCAAGATGACAATGACAAAGAAGAAAAAGGTAATGTCAAAGACAATGCGATACATTTCATAAGGATCACCAGCAGGGTCTTCAATTTCATCGCCAATGCCGCCTCCTGCTCTCACTCCCACGTACATGTGGAAAAGGTAACACTAGAGAGGAAAAACAAACAATGGAAATTTAGGCAAAAGTCACAGTTCTGTTTGTTTTTAGCAAGGTGGTCAGATCATTCATATGATTTGGTCAGAGTGTGGCAGCCCTGGGTGGGGAATTCCTCAGAGGTACCAGTATTTATGCTGCGACCTGCTGTCCATCCACTACTCTCTCTGGACAGTTTGGTATCTACAAAGACGGAAAAATTGTTTTTATATTTAGGCTTTTAAAAGATATTTTTAGGCCCATTTAAAAAACGTTTTAACTATTTGATACAACAGAATTCATTTAAGGTGTATACAAGTTAAAAGATCTTTAAGCCTTGGTGAGTGTAGCCTAGGACAGATACTAATTTTTCCTCATTTAAGAGTGTTAGCCTGGCTTTCAGGCTACAGACTGCAAAAAGGCCCCCTCCTCTTCTTCATCTGCATTCCCCTTACACCTGGTAGGGCAGGGATTCCTGCAGCAGGAAGATAAAAGATAATGGAACTTTGCGCTCCTCCCATTCAGCATGTTTGAGCCAATCTAGGCACCTGGGCTCACGGAGCAGTGCACCCTCTGTCTCTCCACCTGATGGGATGGGTTAGACTCACAGAGAAAGGATTGTCTTACACCTGGAAAATCAAAAGCCAGGGGCAGACTGAAGACATGCTGGTCATTCCAGTCTCTAGGGGCTAGTGTTGCTGTCTCATGACGGTGCTCGGCCCAAGAAAGAGTTCTTAGTCAAGAAGGGTTACCTCTTTTATGGAGATGCTCGCAGACTGGGCAGTTCACTGTCCCTGAGATGCATGTTCTTTTTCTGAAATCTGGTCAAAATAAACTGGAGATGCTGCTGCAGCCAAGTTGGCTCACTCTGGACAGTGCTTTTTTCCTCACGAGGATCTGGCCTGACAGGACCCCCCCCTCGACTTCCAAACCTGATCCTGCTGCTGTCATGTTCTTCAGCCAAATGGCTATCCTGAAAGAATCCCTGACTGGCTTGCTGAAATAAATCAAGTGCTCAATCCCAGTTCGTGGGACTTTCCTCTCTGCTCTCAGAGACAGCAATCAATCAAAGCTCGACTCCCAGGAAATTTAAGATACAGGTTCATTCATAATAATGTCTCATCTTTACCCCAGAAAAGAAATAGATGAATGATGAGCCCACTGTGCAGGCTGCTGCGTTGCCCACAGGGCTTAGATGTGTGGTAATGAAACCTACCTCCATCACTTCTGTCTCCCCAGGACACGAGGACCTGTGTTCTACTCTGATCTCTACTGTACTCTGTGACTAACTTTACAGCTCTCACTTAGTTCTCCAGAGCAGCCACACTCAGCCCTTCTTCCCAGCAAGGCACGAAGGGGCGGGGTGGCCGCGCAGTGGGTGGGCCCTCACCGTCATCATGTCGTCGCACTTCATATCCGGCTCATCGTCGTCTTCACTTTTGTTGTAGAACTTTCGGAAGAAGTTGAAAGCCACCACAGTATACAGATAAACCACCACGGCCAGGAGACCCACAGTCAGAACCAACTAGGAATGAGAGGACAGGGAAAGGAAAAGGAGGTGGGGTCAGCTGTATCTCGAAAGGTTCATGGGAGACTCCAGGAAAAAGAGGAGGAACAGTGAGGCCCAGCAAGGAGAGGAAATGAGGAAGGGGTGGATGGTGGCCAAGAAAGCTATTGGGCTGTGAACAGAGGAGGAAAGATGGGACCACAGGGAAAGAGAAGTGGGCTTACTGGGAGAAAATAGTAATGATGGGGTGTTAGGGGCTGAATTGTGCCCCCCAAATTCATATGCTGAAGTCCTGACCTCCAGTACCTCAGAATGTGACTGCATTTGGAGATGGAGATACAGCCTTCAAAGAGGTGATGAAGTTAAATGCAGGTTAAGATGGGCCCACAACCAATCTCACTGGTGTCCTTATAAGAAAAGGAGCTGGGACACAGGCACACATGAAGGTACGGTCTGTCAGGGGAAGCAGCAGCGACAGGGTGGCTGTCCACAGCCTCGGAGAGACCAACCCTGCTCGCACTGTGATACAAACTTACCGCCTCCAGAACCGTGGAAAAGGCATTTCTGTTGAACAAAATACCAGGCTGTAGTACTTTGTTCTGGCAGCCCAAGCAGACTAATTTCTAGGGTATCAGATTTGGCACAAGTAAAACATAGAAGAACTTCAGCATTGAATAGTGAAGGTGCTATGAGGAGGGTTATATTGTGGTGGTGGTGTTTATACAGAGGTACCTGTTACCTGACGCTTCACAATGCTGCTGCTTAGAAAACCCCAAAGGTTCTTTGGACTGATGGGTATCCCTGTATTATACTATTTCATAAGTTATCATTCCCTGGATAACTGTCACAACTTTGAAGTTATTCTAAGAATGATGATGGTGGAGCCGAGTCACACTTTTTGTTATGGAGAAATCTGCCCTGGCCCTTTGTGGTGTCCTAGGGCATGCTTACTTCCAGGCTTTAGGAGTTAAGTTCAGCGGCGTGAGTGAGGAGTAACGGGACCTGCATGTCTGACCTCTCTAGGCACTGAGCTGGACATACGAAGATCAACAAGATCAGAGGTTTGCCTTCAGGGAGTGACACAAGAGGGAGTAGGCGCCAGAGCAATCAGGCAAGAAAAAGAAATAAAGGGTATTCAAATAGGAAAGGAAGAAGTCAAATTGTCTCTATTTGCAGATGACATGATTGTGTATCTCGAAGACCCCATTGTCTCAGCCCAAAATCTTCTCAAACTGATAAGCAACTTCAGCAAAGTCTCAGGATACAAAATCAATGTGCAGAAATCACAAGCAGTCCTATACACCCATAACAGACAAACAGAGAGCCAATGATATAGACCAATGGAACAGAACAGAGGCCTCAGAGGCAACACAACATATCTACAACCATCCGATCTTTGACAAACCAGACAAAAACCAGCAATGGGGAAAGGATGGCCTGTTTAGTAAATGGTGTTGGGAAAACTGGCTAGTGATGTGCAGAAAGCAGAAACTGGATCCCTTCCTGACACCTTACACTAAAATTAACTCCAGATGGATTAGACTTAAACATAAGACCTAATACCATAAAAACCCTAGAAGAAAATCTAGGCAAAACCATTTGGGACATAGGCGTAGGGAAGGACTTCATGACCAAAACACCAAAAGCATTGACAACAAAAGCCAAAATAGACAAATGGGACCTAATCAAACTCCACAGCTTCTGCACAGCAAAAGAAACAGTCATTAGGGTGAATTGGCAACCAACAGATTGGGAAAAAATTTTTGCAGTTTACCCATCTGACAAAGGGCTGATATCCAGAATTTACAAAGAACTAAAACAGATTTACAAGAAAAAAACAAGCCCATTCAAAAGTGGGCAAAGGATATTAACAGACACTTTACAAAAGAAGACATACGTGAGGCCAACAAACATATGAAAAAATGCTCATCATCACTGGTCATCAGAGAAATGCAAATCAAAACAACATTGAGATACCATCTCACGCCAGTTAGAATGGCGATCGTTAAAAAATCTGGAGAGATGCTGGAGAGGATGTGGAGAAATAGGAACACTTTTACACTGTTGGTGGGAGTGTAAATTAGTTCAACCATTGTGGAAGACAGTGTGGTGATTCCTCAAGGACCTAGAAATTCCATTTGACCCAGCAATCCCATTACTAGGTATATATCCAAAGGATTGTAAATCGTTCTACTATAAGGACACGTGGACACGAATGTTCATTGCAGCACTGTTTACAATAGCAAAGACCTGGAACAAACCCAAATGCCCATCGATGATAGACTGGACAGGGAAAATGTGGTACATATACACCATGGAATATTATGCAGCCATCAAAAACGATGAGCATGTCTCTTGTACTTAATGAGGAATGAAATGTTAAACAGTTTGAATATGTAGATAAGGACAAGCCATTAGATTTTAGTATGGCTACAGCCATTCTATATCCAGTCTAATCAATATCTAATCTTCTATATATTGTCAGAGTCAATTCCTTAACTATATATATAATATAAACTATATAATTATATAGTATAAACTATATAATTATAGTATTAACTATCTTATATATGTACTATAATGTGTACTATGTGTATCATATGTAACAACCATATACATTATATGTGTGTGTGTATCTGAAGTCATTGGTTCTTAATTGGATGCCGATATCAGAAGTACCTGGGGAGTTTTGTGTGTACAGTATGTCTACTTGCTAACCCCCAGGGAGTATATCAGATTCAGGAAGGAAGGGGTAGACCTTAAAAAGATCTCCAAGGTTATTCTGATGTATCTATCACCTCACTCCTTCCCTGGTTCATCTTAATGTCAGTGCTTACTGAATCAAGGTCTTATGCTTTCTACATGATGGTTGCAGCTATATTTTTAATTTTCCACAATTTTGCAAAAACAATCACTATTAGTTCAAGCATTTGGCCAAGAAAAGTACATTATACACCATGACACATTCCTTCCTGTCATACACTGTATACTACCTGCTGATCATTTTTTTTCCCCTAAGCATATATAAGTTCATTCTGTTCTGCATCAGTAGAAACCATACCTGTTTGCCGTTGTGAGTTACAGATGACAGAATGGTCCTGAGTGTCTTAAAGCCCATTGCGATATCCAACAGGTGAGCAGCAAAGAAGAAGTTATTGTAGTGGCCCAGAACTGACATGGTTGTATACCAGGCAAGGTAGAGAAAGGACTGGGGATGGAAGAAAGCAGTTTAAGTATTTTTGCCTGATATGTGCTCATTAAACCATTTTTTTCTTATTTTGGGGGACAAACTGAGGATAGCGGGGGTTGAGGTGCTGAGGTGCTGTGAGCTGGCCCAAGAATTGCTAAGTGAGCCCTATCTACCTTACACCATCGTGTAAGTGTCCCCCAGGACGTGTAAGACTTTGGCCTTTGATAAGCAATCCCTGAATCTTTCTGGGCATTCTCCATAGCTTGCTTCTCAGTGGCATCCCTGAACCTGGGGTACAGAATTTTGTTTTTCAAGGTGCAATACTTACGTTATCAGTAAAAACAACTCCAAGCTTCCAGATATGGTACTTCATGTCAATGGAACTTAGCCTAGAGAAGAACAGTAATTTTAAAACTTATAAATGTCAAGAGGTACTAAAGTGCTTAATAAGGGGGAAAAAGTTTTTTTCTCTCAGGTTTAATAACCTAAATATGGCTCTCAGCTTTATCAAGTTGTATGTGTTCCCCATGAGACAGAGAACAGCTGAATCACACAGCCTGATTTTTTTGTTTGTTTGTTTGAAACGAAGTCTCACTCTGTCACCCAGGATGGACTGCAGTGGTGTGACCTCGGCCCACTGAAACGTCCGCCTCGTGGGTTCAAGTGATTCTCCTGCCTCAGCGTCCCAAGTAGCTGGGACTACAGGCACCTGCTACTCTACCTGGCTAACTTTTTTTGTATTTTCAGTAGAGACAGGGTTTTACTATGTTGGCCAGGCTGGTCTTGAACTCCTGACCTTGTGATCCACCCGCCTTGGCCTCCCAAAGTGCTAGGATTACAGGTGTGAGCCACGGCACGTGGCTCAGCCTGAAATTTTAATTAGTCTTTCTCTTTCAGCTCTGTAAAGCATAAAAATGTATTGGTCTTCAAATTTTTTTTTTTTTTTTGAGACAGAGTCTTGCTCTGTTGCCAGGCTGGAGTTAAGTGGCAGGATCTTGACTCACTCCCAACCTCTGCCTCCCAGGTTCAAGTACTTCTCCAGCCTCAGCCTCCCAAGTAGCTGGGACTACAGGTGGGCGCCATGACGGCCAGCTAATTTTTGTATTTTTAGTAGAACAAAGTTTCACCACGTTGGCCAGGATTGTCTCAATCTCGACCTCATGATCCGCCCGCCTTGGCCTACCAAAGTGCTGGGATTACAGGTGTGGGCCACCGCGCCCAGCCTATTCTTCAAATTTTTAAAGCAGTGCTTTCCCAATATATTAGAACCTAGAAGAAACACCTAAGCCAGACCAGAGCCTGAGAGAACAAAAACACACTTGTAATTTTTCCCTTGAGCAACTGAAGAGGAATGGAAAAGCGAAAGATCTATTTGAGCTGCTTTGGATTTTAACTCCTAAGCTTTATGTACCATGACACCAGAGAGGCCGCCTCTGCTTTGGTCTCTTCTACTGGGCTAAAGTCAAGAGCATTTTTGTCCAAACCCAGAAGTTCAGCAATGCGTTCTGCTCCGTAGAGATCTCCATACTTGTTGATCACCTGAAGCAAAGGATGACAGGGTGAGCTCAGGCCACAAGCCGCCACCAAATCTTCTCTAGCTCTGGGGTCTTCAGAGCTTTGCTGCCCTGTGGGCTCTTCCAAGGGGTAGATTAAGACATAGTTCAAAATACAGAAAAAAGAGAAAAAACCCAGAAAAAAAAGAAGCAATAAAGACAATTAAATGATAATTTTTTAAAAGCTGATAGTGGTATCTTTTTGCAGGGGAGAAAACATCTATGCAGAAAACAGTGAGGACTCTGTTAACTTGCTTAAGGCAGATGAGTGTATGAATGAAGCCAAAAGCCTACGTGTGTTCATATCCAGCCCCTTCTGTGTGACTTACTCTTCTTGAGACACTATCATAAAAGTGGCATCACATTTACTCATGTTTGTATGTGGAGAACTTAAAAAACATACAGCACATGTCTTTGTGATCGTGGCACTCACCCCCACTGACAAAGCATACCTTTCTCTTTACAAACTTGTCCCAATAGTTATTAGGAAAAGATCTGAAAAAGAAAATGAAAAAGGTAGGTTCTTCGTTCTTAACATCAAGGAAAGCACATCAAGAAACTTTTCAGTTTGAGTTCCTGGATCTATGATCTTTTTGGTTTCTGTCCTGCTCACTAAATAATTCAAAATCTGATTGAAGTTCAGCGTCATCACAGGTCTCACTACTTTATATTGACTTCTGAAACACCTGGAAAGCCACCGGGCAGGTTCTGCCTCAATTATGGTTTGGAGCCAAGATTTCTGAGGACAGATTACATAGAGACAGATATATATTTCTAAATCCTTTCCCTGATCCCAGTATAACCAGAAACAAAATGCTACAGAAAACACATGCATTCCATTCAGTGAGTCGCCACTTAATGTCAGCTACTGGGGTAGACAATGGGAATAAGGGATGTTTCATGTGGTGGAAAGTACAAAGTCCCTAACTCTATGAAGTTTCCAGTCTGGGAATCACCTTTAGTTTATTTCTATTGAATTTTTTTAACCTGAGAGCTTTTCCACTCTATTTTCTATTCCCAAGTAATGCCCAGGGCCTGCTTTCCTCAGGGAGTTGGATCCCTCTCTTTCTTGGAGATGGTTCCTTGTTCTGTACCATCCCCAGAGAGATGATCTTTCTTCTGTCTGTAGCTTGTACCAGCTCCACTGCAAATATTTCATATTGTTAAGAAAGAACTCTAATCTTCAGGAATGTTGGCAAAAAACCATTAAAGATATTTTGTTCCTATCCAGAATTACTGAATCCTTCCTGTGGGGGTTCCTTGTAAGGCTGGATTACAGCCTAGGAGCCTCTGGCCTTTAGAGCCCTCCCACTGTTCACTGACGTCTCAGAAAAATAATCCCAGCAAACACCACCTCTCCCCCAACAGGGTGGCAGCGTTAAAAACAAATAAAAAGGTTGTTTTTGGTTTGTTAAAGCAGTTTGTCTTAAATATTTAAATGTCACTTGAAAGTGAAAACAAATGCTGGTGTTACAGAGTAAATTGCTAGCATTTTATCTCTGGGGGATGAAAATAACAATTATTTTGACTTCCTTGTACGTTGCTACTTGATTTTTTTCATGCATTGCATTTAAATTGAAAATAAATAAAAACCAGCCATGCTTTCTCTGCCAGACTGATATCTCCTTTCTCCTAAATCCTTTATACAAATGGTCTGTAACATACAACTCAGCCTGGTCGTGTTTTGTCCTAAGCAGAGGATTCCACGACTGATGCTGAAGGGTTGAGGACCACAGGCTCTGGGCATGACCTTTCCACAGATATGGTCTTACCTTCACGTGAGCATTCTGAATTTCTTATCCTCTGACTAGGTATGCAAACTCCTTGAAGGTAGAAAACATTTTACTTGTTACTAGTACTTAAAGTGTGGCATAAAGACCTTCAGAAGGGCTGGGCGCGGTGGCTCACGCCTGTAATCCCAGCACTTTGGGAGGCCGAGGCGGGTGGATCACGAGGTCAAGAGATCGAGACCATCCTGGTCAACATGGTGAAACCCCGTCTCTACTAAAAATACAAAAAAATTAGCTGGGCATGGTGGTGTGTGCCTGTAATCCCAGCTACTCAGGAGGCTGAGGCAGGAGAATTGCCTGAACCCAGGAGGCGGAGGTTGCGGTGAGCCGAGATAGCGCCATTGCACTCCAGCCTGGGTAACATGAGCGAAACTCCGTCTCAAAAAAAAAAAAAAAAAAAAAAGACCTTCAGAAGGAAAGTATATAAATAAAGACTGTATCTATACATGAATGTTCAGGGAAAAAGTACAAGATGCTCAACCCATTTAGTAATCAGGGAGATGTACAATGAGGTTCCGTTATATGCCTACCAGATGAGCAAAATTATCTGCCAATAATAAGTGCTGACAAAGAAGCAAAGTAGAAACTCTCCTAAAGTACTGTTTGGAGTAAAAATTGGAACAAACATTTTGCATATGCTACTATTCAGCAACTTTCTCTCCTGTGTCTATACTCTAGAGAAATTCTACTTGTGTATCAGGTATGAGAATGCTCACTGTTAGCACTGTTTATAAGAGCCAGAAACAGAAAAGTTGAAATACCTACTGTCAGGAAAACTGATAAATGTGATAACATACATAATAGAAAAATCTACAGCTTTGAAAATGAACAGTTATATCTACATACATCAACACAGGTGAGTTCCCAAATATAATGCTAAAAGTCTTTCAAGTGGCCACGTGTGGTAGCTCATGCCTGTAATCCCAGTACTTTGGGAGGCTGAGGTGGGCAGATCACGAGGTCAGGAGATTAAGACTATCCTGGCGAACCTGGTAAAACCCCAGTTCTACTAAAATACAAAAAAAAAAAAAAAAAAAAATAGCTGGGTATGGTGGTGCACACCTGCAGTCCCAGCTACTCAAGAGGCTCAGGCAGAGGAATCACTTGAACCCAGGAGACAGAGCTTGCAGTGAGCTGAGATCATACCACTGCACTCCAGCCTGGGCGACAGAGACTCCACCTCAAAAAAAAAAAAAAAATTCAAGTGACAGTATAATATATATAGTATAATTTCATTTATATAAAGTTCAAAATAGTCAAAATAGAGCAATATATTTAGGGACAAATACCTAACTGGAAAAACTATAAAGCAGGAGAATGAATATCACTAATTAATATCACTGATCGCTAATTATTAATATTACCACTAATGAACATCAAAAATGTAGATAGCTGTAGGACGGGAAGATGGAGTTTCTCGTCACTCAGGCTGGAGTGCAATCTCTGTCTGTTCAAGCGATTCTCCTGTCTCAGCCTCCTGAGTAGCTAGGATTATAGGTGTGTGCCACCATGCCCAGCTAATTTTTGTATTTTTAGTAGAGACGGGGTTTCACCATGTTGGCCAGAATGGTCTCAAGTTCCTGACCTTAGGCGATCCACTCACCCTGGCCTCCCAAAATGCTGAAATTACAGGCGTGAGCCACCACACCTGGCAATACAGAGGATTTTTAAAGTTCTCAATAATGTTGTAACCGTTTTGGTTTGTAATTATACTATAAAATGTACATATATATTTTATATGTTCTTATTTATGTGTGCTTAGCAATACAAAAAAAATTTTTAAAAAGCTCTCCATGACATATAGTTAACTGAAAAAAAGCATGTTATAAAACATGAACATGTACTATGATGCCATTATTCTGAAAAACATTAAACATTGGTCTATCTAAAATTTTTTTAAAAAGCTATTTATGTGTTTCCTACTCATGGATGTTTAAGCTACTCTAAGAATATTGGCAAATACCTTTGTTGGGACATTTTAGTGTACTTGTCTCACTGTCTCTTTAGGATGTATTTCTAGAAAGTGAACTGCCTTCTTACTGGGACTTTTAGGCCATATCTCCTTGTATGACAGACACAAGCATTGCTGATGTTTGCACAAAGCTTGCCACAGGATTCAACTATTTAATAGTGTCCAAGGTTTCTGTAACGTAAGGACAAAGGGTCAGAGACAGTGCTTAGTACTGTTTTTCCTTGTGTGAGAAGATTGGCACGGGACCTGCAGGCAGGGACAGACTTAAGATGTGAAGATGGCCCTGTTCACATTTTCCCCCCTCTAAGAGAAGAGCCTTCCTTTTCTGGAGACTATAAAGAAATATGCTTAGCTGTACCGTTGCAGAGCTCCTTCTCAGTTTGCCTGATCATCTTTGGATAGGACACAGTTTTTTTCCCCTGGAGTCAGGATGCTTGCTTCTTAACATGCCTATCTTAATTGGCACACCAAAGAGTTTCAACACAGTCAACTTTGTTGGCCCTATTTCTTTTCTTTTACCACATTATGTTGAAACTGTCACTTACTTTGTGAATCAACTGCCATGAGAGCATGACAATTTGCTAATGATGGCCAGTTTTTGAATAGTTAGGGGAAAGAGAATGAGTAACAGCTTAATGCCTGTCATGTTCCAGGTATTTGCCAAGCACTTGACATACATTCATTAATCCTCCCAGGACTGTAGGAGGTGATACTCTCATCCCTCTATTACTGAGGAAAAACTAAGGCTGAGAATGTTTGATTACCTTGTGCAAGTTCACAGACCACTAAGCTTCAGAGCTGACTTGGTGTCACCTGACAATCAGTGCTCTTGCTCCTTCCCAGCACAGAGCCACCTACCTACGGGAAGGAAAGGTTGCCTCTACAGGTCTTCACATCCGTACCAGTCAGCTCTATTTACCTGCCCATGTAAGTGCTTCTCAATCTTATGTTAAGAGGAGGTCTCTTACCAAGTAGCCTATTTGGTTAAGAAGAAGACTTCAGAGATGGCACAATTACAGGACTGCTGTGCCATGGAAGGCTATGGAGAAGCTGAAGCTGATCAAGTTGATCTCTAGCCTTCTGGGCAACTTACGCCCTGGAAACACTGTGTGACTCGAACATGGAAAACTAGTTTAAGCAATATTGTACTGGACTGTCCCGTCTAAATAAAATATACTCGGTACCTTCTGATAATATCTTCTGTCCACTGTTAAACTAATAGACGTCTATATAAGTATTTAATGGGCAGTAAGTGGCTTTATTGAAGAGGCAAGGGAGAAAAGTCCCAGAAACCAGAAGAACATTTATATTAACCAGTTTTAAGGCCAGGAGGAAAGAGTTATTCTATTTACAGTAGAGACTCTGTCTCCTCTTTAAGTTGGGGTAGAGGGACACTTACGGTGTGTTGATCACCAAGCGGTCCCATTGCCCCTTGATGTCATCTTCGGATGGCTGTTCGGTGATATATAGGCCATCAAACTCCAGCTTCCTGGCTACTTCTTTTTCCCTTTTGAATACTACCAAAGGGACCTAGGATTGGGAACACAATGGTTACACAGAGCAGGCTTTGTGATTAAAGCACCTGCTGCCAGGTACTTGTCACAAATTAACCTTCCAACTTCAGGGCAGCAGTCTCCTTACAGTGGGATTCTTAGGCGGCGTAGTTGTGGGCTTGAAGCCAAATGAATCTCTGTGGCTAAATACCTACCTCTTTAAAGCTGATCTGATTTGAGTCAATACCTAATATTAATACAGACTAGACTTTTTGGCCCTTACTAGTGTGCAGGCCATGCCTAGATGAGCCCAGGGCTGAATGAGTCAAGTCTCCTAAGACTCCTCGACTGGAGTTGAACCAAGATTTAGAAAGGACAATAAACCATTCTAGAATAGATCAGCCAGCCACGGGAATGTGATGAAATGTTCCAACTCCCTTCAACATACAGGGCCATATTTATCTCATGGCTTTGACGTCAGTTAATGAAACATGGTTTGATAGAATGAGAGGATTCAGTCTGTCTGTAGTGAAGTTTCCTTCCTGAGATTCTTTCCGTAAGGAGCTCCGTCCAGGTAGTGGCATACTTATTTCCTCCCATCACTCTCCATTCTTTTATAATTGTAAGTTTAAAATTAGACTAGGAATAGATTTATGGCTATAAGGACCTGCCTCCAAAGGGGAACACAGAAAGGGATTGGAAAATAATCCACTTGGCGTAACCATCACTAAGCGCACACACACTCCAAACATGGGGCAGAGTTAATGAGGCCAGAGGCTACTGCTGAAATCCCAGGCAATGAGAAGTCACAATTGACACAGCTGCTCTAGCCAGACAAACTTCTCATCCCATCTCTAGCTGAGATGCCACTCGCTACCTGGCAACATCCTTGAGAGCTTCATCTCCAGACTCATGATACGCATGTACCCCACATTGCTTTTGTCCGAAACGAAAGAACAAAATTCAGACAGTGATGTGTAAAGAGTTACCTCTCGTTTTTCTTTAAAAACAATGTTTTTCTACCTGTTATTCTTTAAAACAATGAAATAACACTGATAAAGTCAAAAACTCATGACAGGAAGGTGCCAAAGGCTAGCAGCCATGGCACACTGTGCAGAATTGATGGTCACTGTTAGTAAACAGATGATGTGCGAGGCGAGGCCTGCTGTTTTGAATGACTCTGAAGAACAATAGTAATATCAAGTTGTAGAGTGGTGCTTATCTCTGGGATTCCAACTATTCCCCTTCAATCTTCTAGAAGTTTGTATACTCTCATAAGCAGAACTTCCATACTCTTTACTTGCTAAATAGTGTTACTTTCCGTTTTCTCCAGCTCACAGTATAGTCTGTACTCCATTTCATAAGCTAAGCTCTAGGATGTCAAACTAAGGAGCAGCAGCTAATATGCTTAAGAGTTTACTACATGTTCTGAATACATTTACACAGACCACTATATTTAATCCTCCCAGCAACTTTAAAACAATACTTTTTTTTTTTTTTTGAGATGGAGTCTTGCTCTGTCGCCAGGCTGGAGCACAGTGGTGCAGTCTCGGCTCACTGTAACCTCTGCCTCCTGGGTTCAAGCGATTCTTCCACCTCAGCCTCCTGAGTAGCTGGGACTACAGGCGTGTGCCAAACGCCTAGCTAGTTTCACTCTTGTTACCCAGACTGGAGTGCAATGGCGCGATCTCAGCTCACCGCAAACTCCGCCTCCTGGGTTCAGGCAATTCTCCTGCCTCAACCTCCTCAGTAGCTGGGATTACAGGCACGCGCCACCATGCCCAGCTAATTTTTTGTATTTTTAGTAGAGACGCGGTTTCATCATGTTGGCCAGGATGGTCTCGATCTCTTGACCTCATGATCCACCCACCTCAGCCTCCCAAAGTGCTGGGATTACAGGCTTGAGCCACCGCGCCCGGCCAAAACAATACTTATTTTTACGTATGAGAAGAGAGAGGACTGGGAGTTTCAGTGGCAGAGCTGTGAGTTCAACCCAAGAAGCCTGGCTTCAGAATTTGCACTTTCATAGTTGCAATGGAGGAGCCCTTAGTGTAACCCAGGGCACAAAATCTCTTCAGCACGGTAGCTGGACTTCCTACACGACACTATAGTTCACTGGGGGAAGAAAGAACCACAAGATAGGAAAATATTTCCTGGACTCTTCCCAGGAAGAAGATGGCTTGCTGTACTTAAGAAGACTTCCTACTGAAGAGAAGGAAGAAAAAATTTAATGAGAAAAGCAGTGAGAAAAACAAAATTATGATGTAGCAGAACTAGAACTGGACTTGGAACACCAAAAGCTGAATGACTAAAGATTGACATAACTGTAGTGGTTCTGAATATGGCCCCGAGGAACCAGGCCTCCTGGAATTCATGCCTTTGTGTAGCGCCTCTCCCCTCTACCATGCAACAATGAATCTGGGATGGCCAAGTGACTTGCCTTAAACAACAGAATGCAATGGAAAGGACACTGTACCCATTCTGGGCCTAAGACTTAGGAAGGGCCAGCAGCTTCCTCCTCCATGCTCTTTTTGGAAACCCAAGCCATCATGCAAGAAGTGCAGCTACCCTACTGGAGAGATCCCGTGGAAAGGCCACATGGAGAAGGAGATGCTCTGAATCTACCTGGAGAGAAAGAGGGAGAGGGAGAGAGAGGCCCAGCTACCCCAGCTGAGTCCATTCTTCCAGTTGTGCCCCCACTGAGCTGCCAGGCATGGGAACATGCCATCTTGGCCACTCCAGCCCAGCTGAGCTTGCAGACAACTGAAAAAATGCTGGCTTTTCATTGAACAGAGGAACTGCCCAAATGTGCCGGTCATCCACAGAATCAGAGAGATAAATAGTGGTCATCTTAAACCATTACGTTTTAGAATGGTTCGTTATGCAGCAATAGATAACTGAAAACTAACACATCAGTAAGCTTTCTTCTGAGATCTTGAATCATTACAACCTAATGAAAAAGTATTTTTATAAAAATTTCAACATCAATTAAAAGATCAGAAGACTCTCTCATGACTAGCTCTCCATGTGACTTAGCCTGATGACCCATTCTATGAAATTCAACAAGAGGTACCCAAAACGGGACTCTTAGCGCAAGGCTTCAAAAACTTGAAAGTGCGTACAAATTGCCCCGTGATCACGCTCAGTGGTAGATTGTGAGTTAAAAGACCGGGGTAAGGCCCGATACTCTGCAGGTCTACGCAGCTCCCAGGCAATGCACTGCTGCTGCTGTTCCATGGACCTACAAGGACCTTTACGAATACAAGAGTCTTAGAGCAAAGGGCTGGCTGCGCTCAAAAAGGATACTTCTTCCTCAAGGAGTCAGATTAGATCCAGAGTGGCCAGCAGCTCACCTTCAGGCAGTAGTATCCCACCACACAGACTAGAGAGATGATGGTGTGGATGACGGCCAGGGCCCGCAGTGTTGGTGCCATATACCCAGTGCTCTCCTGAAGGACAAAAAACACCATCGCTTCTTCCTCTTCCTCATCATTAAAGGAATTCCACAGGTTTGCAACGTCCTCTGTCTCTTCTTCTAAAGGTTCTTCAGTGACCTGGCCCAAAACACACTCGCTTATTAAACATCAAAAAGAACCTCAGCCATTGTGCTCTCCCCACATATTTTATATTGTTAGCATATGCTGTACGAATAGTAGTGACTCAACGTTACTTGCTGAATAAATGAGGTTTTCAGGTAACTTATTTCTAGGAATCACCAAGTATCTCTAATAATTGCAAACAAACTTTTAAAAAGGAGACAGCCAAGGCGGGCAGATCACGAGGTCAAGAGATCGAGACCATCCTGGCCAACACGGTGAAACCCCGTCTCTACT